CCCGCCGAGGAACTCCACGGACTAAAGGAGAGCAGAATGCTGAACCGCTTGTCCCGCGTGTCCGTTATGTGCCCCGCGTACTCACCCGAAAGCGGGTAGAAGCGAAGAAAATCCAGCCGTGCAGGTCGGTATTATCGAATCGAGCAGAGCGGGGCGGAGGGGAGAGCGGAAGAGAGAGAGAGAGAGCGCAAACGGAGTAGTGGCGAGTGGACGGGAGCACAGCGGTGCGGCGGCGGATTCGGAAAAGCGACAAGCTCCACTAAGGTATAAGGTACAGCGCTGCAGCAATACCGCAGGACTGGACACCCACAGCGTCTTTTGGCGACGGACAGATCTAATCTAATCGGGTTGTGAATCCCACCTCGGAAAAGGCTACCCGCGATAAGCACAATCCGTCCGTACAGCAGCCGACTATGGGCCTGCTACTGTAGTAGCACCACTCGTGACACACGGCAAGATTTTGAACGTATCTGGATATGTGCTGGGATCAGGTGCATTCATAATGTTGGCGGATGGTGAGTGGTGCAACTATGCCCTACAGTCGGGAGAAACAGGGAATTGTGTCGCGAACTCATACGGGTGGCGCGGCTAGGGACCGGGTCCCGCTGCTGCTATGTTCAAAGTGTTCATTCATTATTAATTATTTGAGCTAGGAACTGTATGAACCTGGTCACATATGACCGCCAGGTCACATCGCACCGACGGCCCGGCCTCCTAAATTTTGGTGAGGCCTGGCAGGGGGAAAGGGGAGGCTGCGGGGCGCGAGCGGCGCGGACGTTCGGACATTTGCCAGCGAACCTTAGCGGAGAGAAACTGAACCAGCTGAGGCAAGCATATGAACAAACATACGGGACAGGGCCCAGGGCCTGGTCAACAACCCGCTCCAGGAGCTCACCTGTCCCACGCCTGGTCCTCAATCCATCCTGCTCCGGACCAAGCCTGGACCAAGCTTGATCAAGGGCTGCGCTCGTGCCAACGGGAGACGGACCTAACGATAATTTCCTGAACCAGACAGAAAGGGACCAGGGTCCGGAAGTTTGCAGCCCGTCAGGGTTGCGTTTCCCCCCCTTCAGAGATTTCAACGTCATTGAAATTTCAACGTCGGTGGTTGTTCCGGAGGGTGGGCATTTTTTTGAGGTTTCGGGGCTTAGCAAGGGGCGGGGCATGCGACGGACCAGTAGGCATGTGAAGGACCAGTTGCTGCCCGTAGGAGGCCGAGGAGGCCGGCCCTTAGAGTTTTGGAAATTCCGACATAGAAACGGTGTGGGTCCACTTTTCTCAAATAGAAGGGCAGTCCAGATAACATGTAATGTACCCTTTCCACTGGAATTTCAAAAAGGAAAAACTCTTGTGTTCCAATCTCATATTACGTTTTCTTTTTTCTTTGGGAGGTCAGTGCCTGCCCTTGTGCCACTGACACGGTGCATGCTCTCTCTCTCTCTCTCTCTCTCTCTCTCTCTCTCTCTCTCTCTCTCTCTCTCTCTCTCTCTC